TTTGAAATATGGTAACAATTTGCTTCCATAAGAGTCTGAATCATCTCCGCTGTTTCCCTGCTTCTTTTCCTTCTCGGTTCCTTTGACTTTAAAAACTGTTGATAAGCTCTTAGTTCACATCTGCGCTGGGATGAAAACCGCTAGTTTTCTCCATCAGTCGGCGTGAATCCTCCCCCACAGGGAGATGGAGAGGAAGAGCGGGATGTGGGCGTTCGGAGTGAAAGAAATGGACAGAAATAATCTTCTTTTGTTGTGTTATAAAGATGGATGAACATCAGCTGAAAAGGACACTTTCAGGATCCCTCATGCAAACACGTGCATCCGTCTCCATGCAGATTAAACATCGCAGACCAGATTATTGCAAGCCAAGAATATCTGAGCATTGCAGAGCAAAGCTGCACAGGAAATGTAGCTGAAACTGTCAGCATTGTTCAAACGTAGAGCAGAAAAACGCGTCTCATCAGGCAGAGAGGAAGGAGCACAGAGAGGCAGCTGGAGGAGAGTCTGCAGTGTAATGTGGGTCATCATGGTGGCGTCTCTCTCTGAGCTGAAAGACGCTCCTCCTGCTGGAACACAGAGCAAGGATGCTGGTTTATATGGTTTAAACTGGTCTGAGCTTCAGAATGGAGCTGCAGCCGTGTTTCCGCCTTAACGCTACACCAGATTCACCTTGGAGGCGGATGGAGGAGGCGGCGAGCGGAGAGATGGAGAGGTGCAGATGAGCGCAGCAGAGAGGAAGCAGGCCGTGTTGAACATGGCCTTCAGGTACCTGGACACCTACAGAGAGCTGCTGCAGGAGGAAGGAGAGCGCAGCAACAGCTTCCCAAAGGTACCATGTGACACCCATGATCAGCAATAGTCAGAGTGATTCCAGGTCACATCTTCCCAGCAGCCATGACTCTGCTTTAATGATGCAGATAAGAATAAAGACCAGATACCTGACATCCAATCAGGGAACATTTCCAGCAAAATAAATACATATCATCAAAAAATGAAAATAGGACACAGGGACAGTGATGCTTTCATTCATTTTCACATATTTGTTAATATTTAAACAAAATAAATCAAGTGTAAAATCCAGGAATGCACCGCTTCTATTCCCTAAAATTAATTAAATTAATCAATAGATAGTGTTTATTAGCGCCATTCTGCCCCCTCCATCTTCTTTTCTCTCTGCCTGATTTCTGTTTTACTCGAAGTAGATTTTTTTCCTTCTTTTCCATTAATGTTCATATTTTCATCAGCTCTCATTCAATCTTCTTTCTTTGTTTTTTTTTTTATAAAGGTTTATTACATTTTCAAAGTGCAACATACAAAAATCATACACCAGGGTATAAAGCATACATATATTTAATAAATTATGGTC